ACAACAAAGATCGTGCTTGATCCATCGAATCGTGAGTATGTTCATCCATGACCGGCTCTAGATGACGGCCGTGCTGCTGACGGCACCGGGTCGGGCTAACGATGCTTAAACACAGCGGCTCTCAAATAAACTATTGTCGACAGTGGCGAAGAAAGACAACTTAAATTTTAACTTTTAAGTTTCTACATGCTTTCTTCAATAATTTCACAATTTTTAGCTGACTTTTCTTGATTATTGCCGCGGCTCCACTGACATACGCTCACGGCACCCGGGGGTACCTTGGCACGCAGAACTGCTCCTGTAACGAATCGTTAGCCCAACCTGGTGACGTCAGCAGCACGGCCTGTCAGCTACAGCCGGTCATGGTTCATCACTGTATAACTGCAGTGACGTCTTTATCAGCTGTAAAGACCCTGATATGTACAAGTTAGTTTCGGATGCTTTACAGGAGGGTACAGAGCCAAACCCTAGCATCTTCTGGTTTTTGATTATTTTTTCTGATGCAGAATTTGCGTTCTGTGATTTAGGCGTTTCGATTGCATTAATACCAGAGTACAGGGTTCGATCTCAGCTGCTGGCGATTTGGCAGCATAGCGTCTTGCATTCGATCATATATATATACATATTGGGGCTGTACCGAATATTCGCTTCGTATTCGCTTCGGGGCCGAATAGTGGACCTATTCACTATTCGGTATTCGGCCGAATGGTTGCGGTCGGGCCGAATACGATTAGTAGTTACCTCACACCCGCTATTGCATACAAGGGCTTAATACTGACAACATGGAACGATTGGTTTTGTTGAAAGCTAATGCAGCTTTCCTGCAATAACAAAGCTGTCAGTGACAATTTCCAAGTTTAGTTACTTGTTATAATGCTTAGGATTCTTTCAATCCTAGTTATTAGTTACCACAGACTCACCAAAGGATGCAGATTGTGAAGATAAGGCCAGCCAGAGACATGAATGGAGACGAGTTATATCTGCAGCAGTAAACCTCAAGGGCTCAGAATGCTAAAGATAAGATGACTGTTCTGTGCTACTTTATGTGAAGTAAAAGTTCAGCGTACATTTTACATTATGAATGTTTTTTTTTTTCTTTTCTAGATATATTTTTTACACTATACACTATACACCAATGCCAAACCTGGTCCCTAACAAGAGCACAGGAGAAAAAGATCACGACGTGCGAAATGAGATGCTTACGTAAGGCTGCCAATGTCACAAGGAGAGACAGAGTTCGAAACGAAAACATTAGATCAATTGTAGGAACCACACCATGCCTGCAATACATAAAGAAGCAACAAATAGAGTGGTTTGGCCACTTGATGCGAATGCAAACCGACCAACTGCCTCTACGAGCATACAACGAACAGCACTTCTGCCCTAGAGCAAGAGGCAGACCGAGAGTACGATGGATAGACAATATATCAGAGATACTGAGGCAACACAGACTAACAACAACACGTGCACCACACCTGGCCCAGGATAGAAAACTGCGACTCCCCACTACGCTGTGAGGCAATTGTGGACAAGACAAGACAAGACTATTCGTATTCGGCCGAATAGTTGGTCCCACTATTCGTATTCGGCCGAATAGTGAAAATCACTATTCGGTACAGCCCTAATATATATGTATAAAGGTAAAGTCGGGAGATGTGAACCAACGTCATTGCACACGGTTATAAACCATAAGTGCTTTGCCACCAGTACAGACAGTTGATAATAATTTTCCGCCTCTGTCGCCGTTTGCACGTAACTCTGTGTAGCTACAACGACGTTCCTCCATTTACCCCTGAAGTATCACACTGTTACCCGTTTCCTAGAGGCTGGGTGAACCCCGGGAGCCGCCCGGTTTCGAACACCGATCGTAGGCTGCAGCGGGTCGCAGCTGGATTTGAAAACGAGCTTCTTATCGACTGCGCAAACGCGGCCTTGAATATGAATATATAAATTAGGGTTGTATCGAATATTCGCTTCGTATTCGCTTCGGGGCCGAATAGTAGACCTAATAACTATTCGGTATTCGGCCGAAAAGTTGCGGTCAGGCCGAATTCGAATAGTGGTTACATTACACCCGTTTCTGGGCTGGTGGCAAATAAACACATCAAGATTTCCCACCTTGGTTCATACTGTCAAGCGTTATCTTTGTGCACCACCTACGAGCTTACCAAGTGAACGTCTGTTTAGTACAGCTTCAGTGAGACAAGAAGCTGTCCTAATGCTGACGACATGTAACGATTTTTTTTTTTTTCAAAGCTAATGCTGCTTTCATTGATTAACTAAGCTGTCAGTGACAATTTACAAGTTTAGTTACTTGTTATAAAACTAAGAATACTTTCATTCCTAATATTGGTTACCACAGACTGACTAAGTAAAGGATGCAAAACATGAAATGTTTTTAAATGTTTACTATTCTGTACTACATTTTACGAAGCAAAATTTCAGCTTTCATTTGACATTATGGATGTGTTTTTTTTAAATAGATTATTTTATACACTATTCGAAAGTGGAAGAATGGCCCTCAGTTTGAATAGTGGGAAGACAGAAGTAATGGTGGTATGAAAGAAAATAATTATTCCTAAATGTGTAATAAAAGTCAATGGTTTTATTTTTGGACAAGTACGGAAATTTAAGTATCTGGGCACATAGATAACATCAGATGCATTACTGAAATAAGAAACATAATAGGACAGGTAAAAATTGGATTTTATAAAATGTAGAACATCTTATGCAACATATCTTTGTCATTGAAGGTTAGAAAAAGAATTCTTGCTTGCAACATACATCCAGTTTTAACATATGGCTGGAAGTCCTGGACAATCGGTAGGCAGGCCAAACAATTTCTTGAGGCCTCAGAGATGTGGTTTTACAGAGCAATGCTTAAAATAATTTGGACAGCGGCTCCCCCCCCCCCCCCCCTTTTTCCCAATTTAAAAAAAAAGCAACCAGGAGGTTTTGAAAGAGGCGGGAGCCCGAAGACACCTTATCACAGACATCAGAAGGAGACAGTCATCATTTTTCGGTCATGTTATAGGATGAGGGAAAATAGAACACATTGTAACCACTGGAAAGATCTGTGGAAGGAGGGATAGAGGAAGACAACGAGAGAAGATTCTTCACAGTCTTCTTGCATGGTATGGAGGTGTGTCAGCACACGAACTAATACATGCTGCAGGAGATTGCAGATTGTGGCGAGGCATAATCGCCCATACCAGTCGGCAAAGCACCTGATGATGATGATTCACTATTCGTATTCGTATTCTGCCGAATAGTTGGTTCAGCTATTTGTATTCGGCCGAATAGTGAAAATCGCTATTAGGTACAGCCCTAATATAAATACGCACGTCATCATCATGTAGCAGGTTCTTTGCAGAACGTCGCTCTTATCACGGTATGACTGAAAGAAACTCGGTCTCTCGCCCGCTATCCCGCCTCATGTACTTTCACACCCAAGGAGTCACTTAATTCCTGTGCCCATCTTCGTGTCGGTCGGCCTCTGCCCCTCCTTCCTGGTACCATGCCTTCTGCTATAATTTTTTTCCAATCCGTCGTTGCGCTTGATATGAGCAAAATATTTCAGTTTCTGAGACAGGATGCTGTTTAACTATAAACCACCAAACACTATGTGTGCATTTTCATAAAATGATTTCATATATTTGCTTTGGCCTTCTCAATCCGCAGAAATTGCTTTACTCAGAGTGAACGGCAGTGGGATTCAGTTCAACAATTATGTGCAACCCATGTGTCTGCCAGTGGCGGGTGAGACTCCTGCAGTTGGGACCAGGCTAACACTGACATCATGGGGGCGTTATCTTTGTAAGAAGTATCTACATTCATAACAATCCTTATCCTCATCAGCTGTTCACTATACAGCTCTAGTCGATTTCTCCATTTCCCCTGTCTCGTTCATGTGCTTCATTTATGTGTGTAAAAGGGGGGGGGGGCATATACAGACTGCCCTCAACAAGCATGTCGTAAGAGGGCAGCTAATTAGATGCGTTACCTTTGGAGTCGAGCGCATATACCGGAGAGGCGAGCAACCTACAGAATATATACAAATAAGCCAGATTTGTAAGACGGATGCGGTCGCAAAACTCGTGTTCTTAAACTAATAGTAAAGTGCAGAAGTGAATGAATGTTCTTTCTCGTCCTTTTTAGGATGAAACTTTTCGTTATTTGAAGTCCTACTCTGGCTCTTGCCAGGGGCCTCAATATAGCCTGGCCTTAAATATGGCCTAAAGGCTGAACGCGGTTTTTTGGACCTCTCCACGGTGATCCTCACCCACATGGTGGCACATTGTGTCATCGGGTGTTTATCGCTTGTGTGGTGTTCAGGTGGAATAGAAAGTCAGTCAGTCAGAAGTGAATAAACACCCAGATCTTTCAGCCGAAGTTTACAGCTGGTCAATGTAAAAACAATAAAATCGGAAAAATATTATTCCATGATATTACGTAATGTTCAGATTTGTTTAGTGCACTTGGAGTACAGAATCCAGTCCCATACCAGTGTCATGTAACATCAACGTATGTGGTAGGTATCGTATCTCTTAGAATTCCTAACTCCGTGGCAGAGTGGTCAAGCCCTTTGCCTCGCGCTCTAAATGTCGTGTGTTCGTTTCACAGCTGCGTCTTTGGGTTCACGGGTGCAACTGTTACAGTTATCCATGGTGTCGTATCTGGAGCTATGGAGTTCGTGCTTTTTGCGATTCTCTCTAGGCAGGCGGCTAGTGTTTTCTTTTCTTTCTTTAGGAGCGACCGAGCCATATTGGATAAAACCCGGCACAATGAGGTCGATCCTTTTGATTTCAACCCTTAATTCGCTCGCTTTTTTTCTTATGTCAGTGGCTATTTTGTGTTTCCTTGTTTGTAACTAGGTGTGACTGCAGTCGAACTGACTAAAAAAATATTTAATACAACAATAACTATGACAGTGAGCTCAAGGGAGAAAGTGGGAAACACGCTAACAATTATAGCCGAACGTTTTGACCAAAGCCTTTTTCAACGAAGTACTTAATTCAGCAGTCGTGTGCTCAATTCTTAGATAACTGTTGTTCATAGTTGACGTTGATTTGGCGATTACAGAAGCTGACATGTGCTAATGCACAGAATCAGTTAGGTCTGAGAAACAGAAATATGTGCTTGTATTTGAAGTATTACCTTTATAATCATGAATAAGTACACACATCAGGAGAAGTAATCGATTCACCCACATTAAACGAACTACTATTTGCTGACGACCAGTGCTTGTTCTACTTTGAAGAAGATAGACTGCAAGACCACATTAACAGGTTAAACTCAGCATGCAGTAAATACAGCATGAAGATCAATGTAAACAAAACCGAAACAATGCAAGTTAGTAGAACCTCTGCTCCACTACACATACAGCTGAATGGTTCTGCCCTGAATCAAGTTAGGGAGTTTAAATATCTAGCAAGTATGATCACAGAAGATGGTAGAATTGACAGAGAAATTGAAACCAGAAGGCAGATGGCAAGAGCACTTGTATACCAACTGTCACCATTATTAAGACATCCAAGCATAACTATGAGTACAAAGAGACAGATTATTAATAGCATATTCATTCCAACATTAAGCTGCCAGTGCCAAACATGGACATTATCTAAAGCCCATATACGCAAAATCACCACCTGCGAGATGAGGTGCTTGAGAAAAGCAACCAGCCTAACCATCCGAGATCGAGTGAATAATGAAACTATCAGGCAAATTGTGGGAACGACACCTTGTACTAGATTCATCGAGAAACAGCAGAGCAAGTGGTTTGGCCATCTCGTTAGAATGCAGTAAGATTAAATACCATCACAAGCATCACATCTCAGAAAATCAGCTACTAGAGCAAGAGGACGGTCGCGGAAAACATGGATCGACAACATTAAAGACACTTTACGCCTTCACGGCATGACAATAGCCAGTGGCAGCCAACGTGCACTAGATCGTAAATTATTCCTTCCCACGACGCTTAACGGCAGAAGTGGTTTATGATGATGATTTGAAGTATGTCATGCTCCTGTCGGATATTCTGGTTGTGCAGGTGTGTCACCTGGACAGCCACCTGTAATCATCAGTTATAAGACACAGAAGATGGCAGTATATTGGGCACATCCTGGGGGAAAATTGATAAAGAATCTTTCAGTAGGAACCGCAATGGGAAACACATTGTTAAAGATTTAACAAGGACGTCCTAGAGAAATCATAGACAAAGCTGCTGAAGAGAGGGTAAAAGCACTGGATTGAGGTCTACAAATGACATTATGAGGATAGAAAGCAATAGAGGCCTAGGCTAGTGTTTCACAAACTTTACTTAGTCGCGGCGCCTTTTTTAATTAAACATTTTCCACGGCGCCCTAACCTAAGTAAAAGTATGACTGTTCGAATGTAGGAGATTAAAAAAGAAAAACTCGTTTGTCTTCGAAACTTTTGCGGCACCCCTGTAAAGAAGTCGCGGCTCCCCGGGGCGCCGCGTCGCACAGTTTGGGAATCACTGGCCTAGACTGAGAGCTCCATTTTGTGTTTAATGGAAAACGGGATGATGATAAAGTAACTGTATGACGATCACACTGTTTGAAAATGTAGGCATGTTTTTGAATGAGCAGGCAGATAAGTTGGCTGACTGGTCCTAGTTGAGGATGCTGCTGCATAAAACAGAAGTAATCTCTCGCCTTTGGGATGAGGTAACAAGTAAAATGGAATCTATTGAAAACCTTACATGGAGAGAATGATGCAGCGTGGAGTGTCTGCGGGCGCTGAGCGCCATTCCGAGTTAGATTCGCGGGAAAAGTCAAGACGAGTAGTTAACCTAATGACCACTGGTACCGTCTGTAAGAAGACTGCGTTGGCTATTGAATAGGGAGAGGGAACAAGTTCCTGTCCTGGCGGAGCTGATTTTGTTGTTGTTGTTGTTGTTGTTGTTGTAAATACCCTTGTCTGTCAGGTCCGCCCAGCCTTTAGTGGGTATCAGGTACAGTCCTAGGAAATAAACGCTCTCATCAATGAAAATTCAGACGAAGTTGATGCACTGATCTACTCAGACGGATCCGTTATACGCCAAAAAAGAAGGGCATGGGCATTCACAACACGCTCAGAGAAATTGGAGGGAAATAGGACTTTGGGGGCAGTGAATCCACATCACTCGCCAGAATGGCAAGACTTGGGAATTAAGATCCGCATAGCAAAAAACGAGGCGCACAACAGACACACCAGAAGACTTGTTAATTAACATAGAACTGCTACTATTAGCCATCGGACGTTGGGGTTCATACTGAGGGGAGGATCTGAGCACCTATGGACATGCCCGGAGTGCAATGTTGATAACCTAACTAACTAACTGACTAACTAACTAACTAACTAACTAACTAACTAACTAACTAACTAACTAACTAACTAACTAACTAACTAACTGACTGACTGACTGACTGACTGACTGACTGACTGACTGACTGACTGACTGACTGACTGACTGACTGACTGACTGACTGACTGACTGACTGACTGACTGACTGACTAACTGACTATCTAACTTGAGGCAATCGGTGTGATGCTGACAACATCACCCACCCAGTTCCGATCGGTCAATAAAAATATAGAAGTAGTCCTGTATGCCCGATTGGCCTCAAGTCTTGGAAAGTTTAGTCTGTACTTTGAAATGTTTTTTTTTTCAAAGTAAACATTTCTTTTTCCCAAACAATTTTACTTTCAAACGACTGATGTATTCCACATATTCAAGGGCACTTTCATATACCAGTTTATCAAAAAAGTTTGACTGCAGCAGTCATCAGTAATGATGATTGTGCAAGCCTGTATGGAGAAGAAATGATTTCACCTAGCGTCATGTGTGTAAGTGATGGTAACTGGCCAAAGAGAGTCTGCAGTTCTGACTCCGGAGGGCCTGTCTACGATCAATCGGGAGGTAGGAGTTCCGTTATTTCTCAGTCAAACAACTTTCTATGTAGAATATGCCTCCTAAAATTATAAGGAAGTAAAGTATTCTGTTTACGTTGTGGCGTTTCTGACATATAATACCAAACTCTTAGTTTTAAAGAACTTCTATCTTTTTTTTTTCTTCTTCTTTTTTTAAATTTCTTCTTTTTCTTCTTCTCTTTCTTCGCCTTCTTTTTCTTCTTCTTCTTTGCTCACCGGATGTAAGATACGACGGTAAGTCGTGTTTGCTCGTCCATTTGGGGTCTGGCTTTGTGCCAGGGCCTGAGTTTTGAGTATGCATCCGTTTTACTGGCTTATTTGTGTGCATTTGGTTGTTCTTTACCAATAAGGCAGATGCAGTCACTTCGAAGATAGCTCCTAGTTAGTCGACGAAGAAGTAACGTAGGTACAGCGGACTGAATCGCGAAGGATGAATTGGCTTACTGGTTCAGTAATTCGATTGTGTTAGATCTAGATTTGGATGTGTATCCTCGCCGGTGATTCTGATTGTAAGTCGCTTTAAAGAGAAAGCAAAATCTCTGCGTTACCTGGTTTCATTAGCATATGATTTATTCGAACACGTTGATGATTGTTAATGTATCTGCGAAGCACGCTAGTTTGTATTGAGGAAAAAAAAAAATTTGAATGTGATTATTATATTCTCTCT